TCCATTCCGGCCTTCTCTGTGCTCTGTGCAGAGAATATGAGCTAACAATATACTATATATACCAGCTATGGTTTCTTGATAGAGTTGTTTTTTTTTCCCAACAAGTTATAAGTAGCATCAAAATGTTTGGTTGTTTGTTTTGGTTGTGGTTTTTTTTTTTTTTGAAGAGGATTATGTCTAACTCTGAAATTTCTGTGCACCAAGAAATATAATGAATGCATCTTTTTCAGTACCTTGTCAGAAGTAAGGTAACAGTTGTATTCTGGAGGGAGTTGAAAGCAGTCAGAGGCAAGGCAAATCACTTGATATCTTGTAGTTAGTAAAAAGTTACTTTCTTACTCATTCTGCACTAGTGATAACTTGCGATAAAATCTGAAGTTTGCAGGATTCTGAAGCTTGCCTAGTGCTGCCTCGTGTCATGTCAGCTGCTGTGCCATGTGGTTAACTAGATCCCTGTCAGTGAGGAAGTTACTGACCTCTCCTTTTGAATGTCGTCTTTGGGGGTGATGTTACTTTTGGATCTTTTGTCAAGTCTAAATTATACATTTTCTTTCTTAACAGCTTTAGTGTTCTCTTGCTTAACTTCACTTGAAAAAAAGATGTGTGAGAGAGCTGAGAAAGCTTCTGCCTTCAGAAACATGTGGCCAAGATTTTTTTAAAATGTAAAACATGACTTTCATTTGTGTCCTTTAGATATATCTGGAGAAAAGGACGACAGATACTTCCCAGGTTTCAGCAAAGATATAACAAGCTTAATGACAAAGTGTTATTTTCTGTTCCTGCTACACAATATCATTGTTTCTGTTAGCTGCAGTATTTTGTGAATTAGAAGTAACACTAAGTAGTAGTTGTCAAAACAAATACAAATTTTGTGATGTGGTCCTTATTTTTTATGCATTAGTTTATAGTACGTAATTATTCTGGATTATGACTGCAGAGCTTTCATAACTTACATGAAAGAGCATGGTTTGATGCAGTATGGTTTTTTGAGCATCTCCTGATGGTTTTAAGAGAAAATACTAAATTGCAAATTGTAAGCTGGCTATTCATCTGGCTGCGCAAACAAGAAATGTTTTCAAACTTATGTATTCTGTTGTAAAGACAAAGACTGTTTCATTCTTTATACCTGATGTACTCAAGAAGCCCAGAATATAAATGTAACCTTAATTGTGTTTCTGTTGCTACACAACTGTGTGGCTCATGTTTTGCTCCTCCTGATAGTGCTGCAACAATCACAAGGTGATAAACCAGGAACTGACCTATTTTTGCTTCTGACACCCATCCTCAATGTGCCTCTGCTCGGGGACTGGCTGGGCATCAGTTGGCGGGTGGTGAGCAATTGCATCGTGCATCACTTGCTTTGTATATTCTATTAATATTTTATTTTATATTATATCAGTTATTAAACTGTTCTTATCTCAACCCATGAGTTTTCCCACTTTTACTCTTCCAACTCTCTCCCCCATCCCACCGGGGGGGCTGGGGAGATTGAGCGAGTGGCTGTGTGGTGCTCAGTTGCCAACTGCGGTTAAACCATGACAGTTGACAACAAAGTGTAGGAAGTATAGCAATATATTTATTTGGCTGAATTAGAAGCTCTGCATTTACTTCAGACACAGAGAGAAAGAACACAGAAAGTGGAAACTAAATTAGATTAATAAGAACAGTCATAAAAAATAGCACGAATATGTGAGAGTGGAAAGGCCACGGGGGTAGATAATAGGATGCACCAACAAAGAGGCATCAGAAGTGATGATGACTCACTCGTAAATACTTCACCATGTCTCAGGGAGACCAAAGCAATTGGTCTGTTCCTTGCAGAAGAGGGGAAACTACTGACACAGCATGCCAAGAAAGCTGATTCCTTTTTTAACATCGATATTTGCCAACAAGTTAAGCTGCAAGTTAGTGATCAGCAATGGGAGTGTAAGACCTCAGCTTAAAATACTGTGTGGGGGGAAGGAAGGCATGTAGAATATTTTGAAATAACTTGGTGCAGATTAGCTAAGAAACTTAAATAACTGTCTGAAATGATCTTAAAACCACTAACGGCTGTTTTGGAGTATTCATGGACAGCTGTGGGGGTGAGTTAGAAAAAATGATCTTGGAATACTGAAAAAGGGCAAATCTTGAAAAAGGAGAAAATAGACTAATTATTTTTCCAGAACTTTTGATTTGTAAACATCCAAGAGCAAACCAAGAAACCGAAGTAGGAGATTTGTCAAGAAAAATTACATTCTTACATCATAGAAGGAATTTACAAGGATGAAGCAGTAGTTTACTATATCTTGATGCAATTTTTTGAGTTTTTTTAGACACAATTTCATATACTGTTCTAATAAGCTTTTCAGTAAAATATGGTAAAATTGAATATAGTCTAAAATAAACACATGACTGTCCAGATACCTGTGTAGCTAGTAAACTGCTTGTTAAAATTAGAGGAGTTAGTGAAGTGAATTTTACGTGTTGGTATTCTTGATCTGGTTCTCTCTGAAATTTTTATTAATAGTCTAGACGATGCAGTATAGACACGCTTGTTACATTTGCAGGTGGACTTCAGGTATGTTGGAACACAGAACTGAAATCCAGTAATCCAGTCTTGGATGTGGCTTAGAGGATAGAACAAGGTTAATAGATGTAAAATTCAGCAAGGAAGGCTAAAATTGTCCTTTAGGAAAAACAGGTCATTTTAGAGGCAATGGAACGAATAGTCTAGGGAGGCTGTAAAAGTTTTCTGTGAATATTTTTGAGCAAGTTAGATAGACTTGTAGCAAAATCATATAGATATAAAAGGTCATGTGTTTAGCCAGGCAGTAAGTTTGCTAGCCTTTGAAGTCCATTCCGGCCTTCTCTGTGCTCTGTGCAGAGAATATGAGCTAACAATATACTATATATACCAGCTATGGTTTCTTGATAGAGTTGTTTTTTTTTCCCAACAAGTTATAAGTAGCATCAAAATGTTTGGTTGTTTGTTTTGGTTGTGGTTTTTTTTTTTTTTGAAGAGGATTATGTCTAACTCTGAAATTTCTGTGCACCAAGAAATATAATGAATGCATCTTTTTCAGTACCTTGTCAGAAGTAAGGTAACAGTTGTATTCTGGAGGGAGTTGAAAGCAGTCAGAGGCAAGGCAAATCACTTGATATCTTGTAGTTAGTAAAAAGTTACTTTCTTACTCATTCTGCACTAGTGATAACTTGCGATAAAATCTGAAGTTTGCAGGATTCTGAAGCTTGCCTAGTGCTGCCTCGTGTCATGTCAGCTGCTGTGCCATGTGGTTAACTAGATCCCTGTCAGTGAGGAAGTTACTGACCTCTCCTTTTGAATGTCGTCTTTGGGGGTGATGTTACTTTTGGATCTTTTGTCAAGTCTAAATTATACATTTTCTTTCTTAACAGCTTTAGTGTTCTCTTGCTTAACTTCACTTGAAAAAAAGATGTGTGAGAGAGCTGAGAAAGCTTCTGCCTTCAGAAACATGTGGCCAAGATTTTTTTAAAATGTAAAACATGACTTTCATTTGTGTCCTTTAGATATATCTGGAGAAAAGGACGACAGATACTTCCCAGGTTTCAGCAAAGATATAACAAGCTTAATGACAAAGTGTTATTTTCTGTTCCTGCTACACAATATCATTGTTTCTGTTAGCTGCAGTATTTTGTGAATTAGAAGTAACACTAAGTAGTAGTTGTCAAAACAAATACAAATTTTGTGATGTGGTCCTTATTTTTTATGCATTAGTTTATAGTACGTAATTATTCTGGATTATGACTGCAGAGCTTTCATAACTTACATGAAAGAGCATGGTTTGATGCAGTATGGTTTTTTGAGCATCTCCTGATGGTTTTAAGAGAAAATACTAAATTGCAAATTGTAAGCTGGCTATTCATCTGGCTGCGCAAACAAGAAATGTTTTCAAACTTATGTATTCTGTTGTAAAGACAAAGACTGTTTCATTCTTTATACCTGATGTACTCAAGAAGCCCAGAATATAAATGTAACCTTAATTGTGTTTCTGTTGCTACACAACTGTGTGGCTCATGTTAAAATTTTCTATCCACGCATATCCCTAGTGCTAGTAGAAGCGTGCTTCATGGTGAAAGTACGGATGAGAACTTGTTCCCCTCCACATACATCAGAAACTAGTAGTTGAATGGTGTTTTAAGTCTTTCTCGTTTTATCTAAATACCATTTGGTAATAAATATATTGCTTTCTAGTGATTGTTTAAAATAATTAGTTTTAAGGTAGGGAGGAAATGATATATAAATATTTTCCTTACTAATCTTCAACTTTAACAATATAAATTTAATTTGCTGCCCACGAGAGGGTGCTGTCTGCTAGCAGCTTGAAATGCAAAAATAAAGTAGTTCTGGTATTGTAGTTTAAGGTTGAATTATTGTGTTTATAATCCAAATTGCTTTAACAAATAACTAGTGTTATTTGTATTAGTTCATACATGGATGTATAAAATGTTGGGGAAAAGTCTTAAAGTGATGTAATTATTTTGTGCTTTTACAGTCATTCTCATGTATTTAGCTCTTGTTTACTGCTTTTCACTCACAGATTTCAGAGTATGAAAGAGGCAAACATTGGTCTGTTTTACAGACTGGAGATGTGAAAGAAATGACTCTCCAGAGGTTAATCAGGCCTGTGGTAGAGAAGCCAAGATTTTTGTATTGCAGCTTCAGGTTAGGCTGCACCAAGCTTGATATTGGGAAATTTAGCACTTGAGTACCACTGCAGAGAAAAATATGCATATACCTAAAGGAGGATATTGCTAGAAAGATAGCAGGTCAGTTCCCTGCTTGAGTACTTCTGGAGTACTCACTGCTATAATTCTAGTTATTTTCTATACCATTCTAAATCTTATTTAATAAATTAAAAGTTGTGTTCTCTCTTCTTTCTGCCTCATACTCTATTTACCTTTTTTGCCATTGTTATCTTAATACGTGGTAAAAGACACACTAATTTCCTGCAGGGTGGTTTTTTTTTTTCCTTCCGAAGGTATCAGAACGGGTAGAGAGAAGACTTCAGGAGATAGAACAAGAAATGCGTGCTGAAAGACAGCTTGTAGAAAGGCGCCAGGACCAACTGGGACATATGTCTCTTCAATTACAAGAGGTATGCAAATGAAAACTTCCTGTGTATTTGGGATTAAGTTAGGAACATGCTGCATTTGTGAGCCTTTATCTGTCAAACTGGCAAAAGTGCTCATATCTTTGGCACATTCTTTTAACTGTATCAGTCCAGCTCTGCTTGTTTTGGCAACCAGATGATAAGTACAGTCTCTGTTCTTCATGATACTGTCTTGTCTATGTTTAGACCTTTTTGGTAACTGGCACAAACATTCTTTAAAAGAACATGCCCCCTATGCCCTCCCTCAAACCCCAGACAAACAACAGCAAGTCATTAGCTGGGTTGTCTCAATTAAAACGTTTCGATTTCTAAAATGTAAACTTTGCTTGCAGTGAGCAGTTTATTTTTAATTTATTTCTACAAGCAATCAAATGCACTGTAGTGGCCAGATAGTTTTTCATTGCTTTTCAAACAGTTTCATTCAACAGTATCTGTTGAAGTATAAAATATTGTTTAGGAGACAAAAACAAATGTTTCTATTATGAATTAAAATTGGAGACAACTAGTAGCTTTTTTCCTGCTTGTGTTAGGAAATGTATGAAAAATACATCTCTCTGTTTCTGACTTTACTGCTATTTGGAAAATCTGTCTCTTAACATAGTGTAACTTTTTATTTCACTCCACTTAAGATATGATTTACAATGTTATCTCTAACTATGCAGTAGAATACTATAGCTGAGAAGAAATGTGCAATTCCTTGTTTTTCACTTTTAATATTAGCAACAGTATACATGCTTTTTGGAAGGCAGTTGTTTTATACTGTGCAGTGATATTGAGGAACCTTAATTTAGATTGATGCTTTGTGTTTCATGTAAGGCTAGAGACTCTTCAAGGAGGTCGTATTTAAGACGATAAGATGCTCTTTTGATACAGCTAAAAAGTAATGTTTATCAAAATTGCTTGTGGTGCTTCTGCTAGTATTTCAGAAAGAGTTACTGTTTCATTTTTCCCCCTATTGATGTCCTAGTCGGTGAAAAGAACTGGAGTGCTTTATTACAGTTTTCATTGCTCTTTAATATGCCTATATCCATTTGTAGATTCTTCGGTTGTGCCTTCAGTCTGGTAGAGGGATGCTTAATGAAATGAGTTGGTGTCATTTGATAGTGTTATCTGCAGACTGGAAGATCTTTTTTTTTATCCTTTTAAAGGGATAATGACTTGTATCTGTAAAGATACATTGACACTGCCATGGTTTCCTTGAAGGAAAATTTGAATTCAAGTGAATGAATTAAAATCTATTTCAAAGACTTTCATATGATTGGCTATGTGATTGTGAGCCCTCAAGCTGGATACCTTTTTTTCCTAGTAGCTCATCTTTTGAATTTCATGCAAAATGAATATGAAATACTAAGTACCTCCCTGACATTCCATTCCCCTAAGCTGTCCAGCTGTAGACGAAGACGTTTTAATCCTTTCTCCTGCAAATTCTATTCTGTTCTGTGCATATTTCAGTAAATTATTTTTCCTGAGGAGCCATTTTCTATTTAAAAGATTTTTTGACACCACTGTTCAAAACTTCGATATATAGTCCTCATTCTCAGTTTACAGGAAAGCTCAACACCTATTAGTCTGCTTAGTAAACTTTTACTATTAGGAATTTGCCCAAGCCAAGATTCAGAGCCAATCCTGACTGGATCAGGCTTATTCCACACACCATATATTGATAGCTGCTGCTACTTGGAGGACAAACACATTCTTGGTGATTATCTTCACTCTCTCAAGCAGGGGCTCATATCTCCAAATTGTCTTTCTGGGTGGCTGATCTCAGTCATGACTCTGGATTTCTTGGACTGCACTCTTGTCGTTGTATTTGGGAATTCTAACAAAACATAGATTACCTCTGTTGCAATGAATTATGGATTTTTCAGGAGCTTCTAACCTTTAACATGCAAAATAGAACCTGGTGGTGTCAGATGACAAGTATAGAAGGGAGCTTCTTTCAATAGGTATTAGGCAATCTTTCTTTGACAGATTGCAGAGAAATACGGAGACAGTATCACCCTTGAAACACAGACTTCTGCACTCCCAGTAGCAACAAACAGTACGTCCTCTTCCTGCTACTTCTTCTCTCATAGCTGTCTTACAGCTTGGAGAACATCTTTGTGACAGAGGTGCAACTTCCTACATGCCAGATGTCTTTAGACTCCAATATTGCTAAGGTCCTTAGATCTCAGTATACCATTTGTATAAATGGTCCTCCATTTATACAAATACAACATGTCGGAGGAGAGGTGTCGTGGTTTAACCTCAGCCGGCAACTGAGCACCACACAGCCCCTCGCTCACTCTCTGCACTGCCCTCCCCCGGCCCCAGCCCCGCTGGGATGGGGGAGGGAATCAGAGGATTAAAAGTGAGAGAACTTGTGGGTTGAGATAAGAACAGTTTAATAACTGAAATAAAATAAAATAATAATAATAATAAAAACAACAATAATAATAAAAGAATATACAAAACAAGTGATGCACGATGCAATTGCTCGTCACCTGCCAACCGATGCCCAGCCAGTCCTCAAGCAGCGGCCCCCCTGGCCAGCTTTCCCCCAGTTTATGTACTGAGCATGACATCACATGGTATGGAATGTCCCTTTGGCCAGTTTGGGTCAGCTGTCCTGGCTGTGCCCCCTCCCGGCTTCTTGTGCACCTGCAGCCTTCTCAGTCGGTAGAGCATGGGAAGCTGAAAAGTCCTTGACTAGCATAAACACTACTGAGCAACAACTAAAACATCGGTGTTTTATCAACATTGTTCTCATCCTAAATTGAAAACACAGCACTGTACCAGCTACTAGGAAGGAAATTAACTCTATCCCAGCTGAAACCAGGACAAGAGGCAAGGGTAGACAAGCCTTCTGCAGATACTGATTAAGAGAAAGCTTTCTATCTGAGGGCTTGAAGTGTGTGTGGAAAGTATGTACTGAGGAATATATCAAGAAGTAGGCTTTATAACATATAAATGTTCCTAGGGCATGGTCTGTATCTCTGTAGCTTAAGTTGCTGTATGTTAGAAAGAATGTACTTGAATTGCTTCATGTACTTTTGCATATCCTAGTGAGAATAAAGTAAATAACTAAATATTTTGCTGCAATTGTTATTTGGATGAAGCATGTTTCTACATGACTTTTAAGAGCTTTTTACTTTGTTGTTCTCTTTCTTGCTCTTTGTAATTTGAATTATGAGTCAGATGGACTCTTAGCTCTGTCAGTGGCCTCAGACTTGTGGTGATCATTGCGTGGATGTAATGTTCTATTGAAGTCTTTTTCTGTCCTCTTTTATTTCTCCAAGATGCTTCCCAAGTAACATTACTGGAAGGAGGGTAGGGTTTGGACTGAGTTCTGAAATCCTGTCATTTAATATGGCCTGAATGATTTACAAAGAAATGCTATTTAAAGTATTTGTGGTTATTTAATGAGACAATTTTTTCATTAGTTTGCCCGTTATACATTTCAAACCAAATAAAATCAAATTTGACTTTTGGATTTGATCAGTAGTTGCTTTAATTAAGAACGCTTGTGAGGTTTAAATGTTAGTAGTTATTATTTTTAAGGAAAGTGCAGTGCCCATAACTGACCACTACTTGTCAGTATTTTACCATCTTAAGAGAATCATCTTCCTAAATCTCAATTACTAAATTATATATTTTCAGGGTCTAACTGAACATGACGATACATTTGTTTTGATCTTTCTCTTATCTGTCTTGTCTTTCTCTCTGTTTTTTATGATGTGCAAACCTTTTATTTGTATGGGACTATTATTATAATCATAGACTGATTATTAACCAAGATAATATCTAGTTGTATACTGACCATGAAGTTTGATATACAAAATTTTGCATCTTTAACATCTAAATTTGCATTATTATTTTGAACCTGTAGCCTGTATGTGCTGCGTGCAGGTGGATAAAAATTACTTTCTCTACATTTTTGTGTATCTTTTAACTTAGTGTGTATTGGTGTGTTTAAACGCTATCTGTTTAAACAGCAATTACTGCAAATTAGAAAATTGCAATTAGCAAATTTACGCAAATCATACATCTTCACTTTCTTCTATATTCCTGATACAAACGTGTTTCTGATTAGAAAGGAGAAGAAATATGCTCATCTTGGCAGTGCTACTGACATGTGTATATGGGTTGCCTTAACAAAATACACTTGTGTGAACTAAAACTATTTTGAGATTCTTCAGTGCTTTATTTTGAACATGAAGACACCATCACCTTGTACTGTTTGTTCGCATTTATGCATCCATTTCCTAAAACAAGATCAAGTATCATTCTTAAAAATGGGCTTTAAACAGCTTTTATATGCATTGGATGTCCTGGATGGCTTTATTAATTCCTGTGCTTGGCTTCCTGGATTTTGGTGAAATAAGCCTGTGTGTTCATGCTTTGCATGTTTTAGGTGAACAGAATCATCTTTATAGAACATTTTGAACCCACTGACTGTGGTAAGGCAATGACTATAGTTATGTCTTAAGCTAATAACTTGGATAGGCCAGGAAGCATTTTTTTTCCTTTTTCTTCATGCAACTGGATACTTAGATTCTGTTTGCCTCCCACTGCACATACTGTGAAGTGCAAGAGGCTGGTGGACTTTCAACAGACAGTGGGGTAGACTGACGTCAAAAGCATTATTGAAAATTCTCTTTTTGCATGTCTTTTATCTCTGATCTTTTTAGACAAACATAAACTTGATCTGTGCTCTGAGCCATCTGGATGTTTTAATGTATTGTTGATACTTGCCCCTTGGCTCTGTGCTATGCCACCTGTGGCTAATCGTTTCTGTTTTGACTGTAGTTTGAATCTGACTCTGTCTTGGAACATGAGCAAGTCTCATACATATCTGTCACTGAAATATCTAGGCAGTCTGTCTTTTAAATGCCTGGCTGGTATGTCTAGGTGGCATACTCAGACCCATGCTAGCTGCTTTTTTTAGGGAAAGAATTTTCATTCAGATTAGGATGTGGTACATTTTTGCCTTGTTTTAAAATATAGCATGAAGTTGGTCTGCTTGTGTATTTCTGCTAGAATGAATATAATTCACTGGTCAGTCTCACTTTGAAAGAGCAAATTTCAGTTTGTGGTCTGTGCATTACTTTCAAATAATTTGTGTTTATTTAAAAAAACAAAACCCAAACCCTAAGAAAAGTTACTAGGCTTAAATTGCAGTAAAAGTTATGATTCGCTATTGGAAGATTTTCATAAGTTGGAAAGATTGAGAACTGTTGTTACAGAGGCCTCCACATAGTTTTCCCTATATGAGAAAAAATATCTGTCTAGCAGCGAGTAAATTATTTTATCTATTTGAAGTTTTGGGGTTCGATATACTGTATATGGATGAGGTATGCTGAACTGAGGTATACCAGGTATATTAATATTCTAATACTGTCTTGTGCTAGTGAACTCTCTAAAAAAAGACCTGTAAGAATCGCTCTACTGGGTCAAATCAAAAGTTCATCTAGCCTGTCAGGGACAAGAGCCTGTTTCTGACCACCTGGGCAGACAGTGTAACATCTAGCTGGTCCATCCCAAAACCATGCTGTGAAGACCTCTCTTTACATGGAAGTTCTCTCTTTTCTTGTGGCCTCCTCCATGACTACCCCTTCCAAAGCCTCATCAACCTCCTTGTCAGCCTCCTCCTGGCCAACCTGGACTTTAATGCTTTCAAGAGGAGGATCTTGGTGGGGGAATCCTAATGACTGTAGGCCTCTTCCCATTCCTTGGTGCTTCAGTGTTGGCAGGCAGAGCTCTCCTGGGCAGTGTCTGCCTGCTGCTTGGGAGCCATCAGGGAGGAGCATGTGTTGGAACTGCTGTCCTCAGCATCCCCTTCTTAGTTCCCATTTTTGACCATTTGAACTCCCCCCAACCCCTTCTTTGGAGACAGCAAATGAAATCAAAGAATCAGTTGGATCTTTACATGGTATTTTTTTTCTTTAGCCCTTCCTTTCCCAAGAGAAGCCTCACATAAAGAAACCTTTAGTGGAGAAAAAACAAGTGGCACAAACCAGTGAGAGAGAATTATTTAAAAAGGAGTACAAGACAGAGGGAAAACATAGAATTAACTTCTACCTATGTGGTTTCTGAATTGTCAGTAACAGCTGATGCTTGTCTGGCTGTGGATGACCAGATGTTTCCATTGCTTAATGACATTTTGATTGGTTAACTGCCTACCTCGCACCTACTGGGAAAATGCATGTTTCACAGTTGAAGCAGTGCACATGTGGTATGTTTCATTTATTGTAACATCACGTTCTTTTTGTAGTATTTTAACTCTGATATATATATGAACTGTTGTGTTTTTCTTAAAAATGAAATTATTATGGGCTATTTTTACAATATACAGAAAATAAAACTGAACATTGTATTTGTAGTATTGGTGATAGGGAAGTCTGCCTTTTTATTGGAAGTTATTGCTATTTAATAGCCAGTATATCATTCAGTGATCCTGGTAAGTTGAAAAGGCATATTAATTTCTGTGGTTTCTTCTGGGAATTAGGATGTACTACTGATGCAGAGACATACTTTTTGCCCTCACTAAGGAAATCTTTGAAAATTTTCCTAGTATTTCTAATTCCAGCCCAGCTTTAACATTTTCCTTATGATGCTGACATCTCTAGCAAAATCTGCACATGAAAACATGCATTTTTGGTCCTATATTAATTAATTTAGTGCCAAAAATAAGGTTGGCATGCAGTTGACTGTATATAACAGAGCTTCTAATTTTGCTAGTAAAAATGAAGCTCAGTTGTAGTTAGTGCACATCACATATCCCTAGTAGACTGTTCTGAACTGGTTAAAAAAAAAACCAAACAAACCTCGTGCAATAATGGCATTAGCTGAAGTGATGAACTTTGATTTTTTTTTTTTTTTGTTGTTGTTTGTTTGTTTGTTTTGTTCATGTAGCTTTTTGGGAGTTATCCCTACAGTCTTTTTGAGTAAAACAGGAGTGTGTCAGGTTTGTGTGCAGTGTTGAGTTTTATAGTTGACTGGAATGATAGATTTGAATCTGTACTGAATACTTAGAGAAATATCTTAAATATGTTACAGTCTTACAGTATCAGATTATGATTGGTAAGATTAAAAGCGTAATTCTTTATGTAGCATAATATTTTCAGTGGCATAGTTATGATAAATATCTTGCACAATCTCAGTTTTTAGTGTAAACTGTTCAAGCAGGAGAGTAGTCCAAACTATACTGAAACCCTTATGTTTCCTGAGGTGAGGATATAAGAGTGAGATAAGTATATAAATCCATTTATTTTCTCCACAAAGCTACTTTTAAAAGCAAAACTTCTAAAGCCACATGCCGGATTTCACTGAGGTTGATTAATATCTTGCCTTCTGTTTTCATACAATGAAATCGTTCCCCAGTATACAGTGAAGAGAAAATGTTCAAAAACTGAATGAAATTGCACTAATTATAGGGTCAAATTTCAGGGATATTTGTTTAAGGAGATATTCCTTTAAAATGTAAAATAAAAATGCTGCTCAGGAAGAACAGATGGGAAAAAGATATTTCTTTCTGGACAGGCTATGTGTTTCTGTTGTTCTGTTGTAGTTTTAGCAAGTAAAGGTGGAAAGAATAGATGTACTTATGATTCATGATATTGGGTGAAAGTAAAAGGTGTATGCTAAGGTCTTGATTTGTGGCTGGTGTGAAAACTGCTTGGTCATGTTGCGCAGCAAAGAAACAAGTTTTATTAACACAGTTACTCAAATTCACAGCAAATTCCATCAGTATGGCTAGTGATCTCTCAGCTGATGTTTCTAAGTGGTATTTAAGATGAGCCAATGACATTGTTACGGCTTGAGACATCAAGACACAAATTGTATGTGTCATCAATGTCTCTGTCTAATGCATTTCTTTGCCAGTGATTGGCTATGTTCTGCAAATAGTGTTGGTTTGCAGAGGGAAAAGATTTTGAAATTGATATTGAAGGCAATTTTATTTTTGTAAGATGCTTTAGAAAATGTACGTAAGTGTTTTTAGATACTTCAGTTTGAGGCGGGGGACAGGAAAAGTCCCCGTGCATTTACTTTATTTTTTTTCAAAGTAGGGCACAACAATGTCAGTAACTTTTGGTCAGGAAAGTTTCAATTGATTCTGTCTTAATACTGTGATTCTAAGCTTCTGTCCAGATTCAGATAAAAATAACTTTTTTCCTTTTTTGGCTTCCAACACAACCTTATGGTAGTGTTTTCCTTACTACAGTACATTGTATTTCATATCGTGCATATTTTATATTAAAGAATATATCCTTTTCATCTGATATGTTCACAGCTTATCTGTAGGAGATCTCTTGAGCCTCTTAGACCTTCATCTCAAAGTGTTTGGGGTCAGCCTTGAGCGACTGGAGCTCTCTATACATTGGAAGGATATTAGTGCTAGTTTTGACTTTGTATTTGGCCCTGTTCTGTGCATGGATGTGTTTATGTATGCACGGACTTATATTTATTTTTTCATAACAATATACATTGGCTACACATGGAAATATTAGACATAGAAAGCATTTGTCTAGATCTTTTCTTAAATATAGCAGCAGATTCTTTCAATTTAATAGACTTACAAAGACGACTTCTGTAACCTTTATAATGAAGTTCACAATATATTTTTTCCCCTCTAAAGGCTTTAAGGAAGCAAGATGCTAAAGCAGATGAAACAGAAGAACTCATGAAAAATAAACTTGTGAAATATGAAAGTGAAAAGAACCAAGTAAGACTTAATTTTCTCCTTTCTTGTTTGGTTTTAAATGAGTGTATAGTGTCATATGTTACAGTATATGCTTCTTTTTTCAGAGAAACCAGCAGGATAAAGCTTTCTTTACTTTTTAAGATAACAGGGCGTTTTTTGTTTTTGGTTTGGGGGGGGGGTTTGCATCAGAGGCACTATGAGTATAGCTATGTTGAACTTCTGTCTTTCCTTCAAAGTTCTTTACTTATAGTGTGTTACTTCTAATGACTCTTCCATCCTGCCAGGCGGACAAGTTTATAACCTGGGGATTATCCTTGATTTCTTTCTTGGATTTGTCTTTGAATTTATACATAGTCTGCTGTTGCTTATTTGCAGCAGCTCAAAGATGCAGCTTTTCTTCATCCCTGCAACTAATGCATGCTATAGTTATTTTGCACCATAGTTATTATTAATTACTCTTACTGAACTATCTGTTGCCATATTGCTCTCTTCCTGTTCGTAGAAAACAACATTTCTTATATTTCTGTCCTGGCAGGATGCTAGGACCATACTACACTTTTTTTAGCTTTTTTCCTCTTAAAACGAGTTCAGCCTTTTTGTCAATACTTTCAAGGTTATACCTAAACCATCTATGTAGTGTTTTATGGTATGTTACTCTCTCCATTCCATTAATGCTGGTCCTGTTTACTTTGCCCATTTGCCAACCTCTCAACATCCTCTTTGAGATTGCTATCTGTACAACAACAATTTCCGCTGTCAAAAACTATGTTTATTTCCATGTGGATCTTTGTGATCTTTGAACTATTTATGGTAGAAGTCAGAAAATATTTTGTAGCTTTTGCTTTGTTTTTTTCTAAATGGTCATCAGTTTGCTGACTATTTCTGAGTAAACAATTTAAAATTCCCTTAATATTATATTTTTAGGAAAAATTCTAATTGTAAGAAATTCTGGGCACTTAAATTTTGCAGTTTTCGTGTTTCTAGAATAGTTCAAATACATCTTCTTGCACAACACAGAAAAAGCACAGAATTTACCAATTACTAGTTCTAGTAATTACTAGAATTTAATTACTAGTAATTTACCAATTACTAGTTGCGCCAAGGGAGGTTTAGATTGGATGTGAGGAAAAATTTCTTTACTGAAAGAGTAGTTAAACATTGGAACAGGCTGCCCAGGGAAGTGGTTGAGTCACCATCCCTGGAGGTATTTAAAAGACGTGTAGATGAGGCGCTTAGGGACATGGTTTAGTAGGCATGGTGGTGGTGTGTTGACGGTTGGACTCGATCTTGGAGGTCTCTTCCAACCTTAATGATTCTATGATTCTACCAATGCATGTCATCTTTAACACTTATGAATGAACTATGTAACAAAGGTGACTTCAAATGTTAAGTCATTGTTAATTTTAATTTGAGTTTGAAACTATGCTTCAAATCCAGGGACAATGTTTTTGAAACTTTTTTTAAAAGTTTATCTTCCTTTCTTTTACTTCTAACCAAGTCAAAATTTGCTTTCAAGCTTTTTTGTTTTGGATTATATATACCACTTTGTATCTTCATGTGATATAGAATATTGTACAAAAATTATAGACTATAAGTTAAATTCTCTTTATGTAATTTAAATATAGCAGGGATGTAGTACAAATGAAAGTTTGCTTTAAAATTTTGGACAAAAAAGAACATTGTGTATATTATACCTCGTTTTAAATAGATGCTTATAAGGATTAATTTGTGCCAGAATTAAATAGTTAAAATACACTTTTGTACTATGGTACATACATTGTTTTTCTTTCTTCATCATCTTCTGTAATGAAAGCTTGAGCAGGAATTGGAGCAGTCCCGGAAAAAGTTGAATGAATCAGAAGGCAGTAGAGAAGCTCTTTTGCATCAGGTAACTGCTTTGGTGTGGTGAAAATTCTAAAGTTTTCATATTAGGCTGTGTCTGAGTCTTTTTGCTTAATCTTCCAATATCATACTCCGATAACATTGTTTTGGGAAGGGAAGAATGATATAGAAAGACAGGTTTAAGAGTCTAAAATATGTGGACTGAGCTCTCGTTATACTTTTTCTGCTTTCCAGACTTCTACGTATGTATGTTCATATATAATAATTATAGTAGTGGTAGTAGTTATGGTACTTTTTAAGTACATAAACACATTATTTGTAACTGCCCTTCATATGCTTTAGAACAACTTCTATATTAGTAATTATTGTTATGCAAACTGCATGCTATAATTGATGAATTCGGATAAACCAGTGTCCAAAGTATTTGCTGCATTGTATACTAACATGATATAAGAATATATAAAAAACAAACACCTGAAAAACTATCTAAAGTGTGCTCTAAACAATACCTATTGATGCACATATGATTAAATCTAGAAATTGCAGGAACCTGGATTATAGCTTTAGAAAAGTGTCCTTTCTCCTAAACATTTCTAATCCCTCCTTCTTTCAGAGGAGCTGGGGAAAAAGACTGAAATAAATAGGGAGCGGACAACTGGCATACTTGTCTGCTAGCATTAGTTGTTTGACTTGTGTGTCTAGCAGAAGTTTGAGTGTGCTGTGTTACTGTTTTGAATTTAACTCACTGTGCATGTGTCCTGGTTTCGGCAGGGATAGAGTTAATTTCCTTCCTAGTAGCTGGTACAGTGCTGTGTTTTGGATTTAGGATGGGAACAAAATTGATAAGGCACCGATGTTTTAGTTGTTGCTAGGTAATGCTTACACTAGCCAAGGACTTTCTAGTTTTCCATGCTCTACCGACTGAGAAGGCTGGAGGTGCACAGGAAGCTGGGAGGGGGCACAGCCAAACTGGCCAAAGGGACATTCCATACCATGTGACGTCATGCTCAGTACATAAACTGGGGACAGCTGGCGGGGGGGGCCGCTGCTCGGGGACTGGCTGGGCATCGGTCGGCGGGGGGGGGGCAATTGTACTGTGCATCACTTGCTTTGTGTATTATTACTATTATCATATTATTATCATTATCATTTTATTTCAATTATTAAACTGTTTTTATCTCAACCCACGAGTTTTTCTCACTTGTGCTTTTCCAATTCTCTCCCCCATCCCACCGGGTGGGGGGGAGTGAGCGAGCGGCTGCGTGGTGCTTAGTTGCCGACTGAGGTTAAACCACGACAGCATGGAATATAGTGCTATATCACATATGGGTAATGTGAGTTAGAGCTATTTTCCTTCAATTCCATTTTAGCATGTCATATTTTCTTTATTGTCCTGTACACAATGTCATCTTTGAAAGTGCTAGATGGTATATGGTAGAAAGGAAAAATTTAAAAAGCCCCTATGTTTCTTAAGAATAAGTACATTGTATTTTTAATGAGTAGAATTTAAATAAAATATATTGCTTATTAAATTTGTATAGATATTTTCACTATCAATGTAAACAATTGCAACATGTAAAATGGTAGCATTTTGTTTGCTCTAGAGACATTAATGCTCATCCATGGTCAACATAACAAATTAAGATGTTTCCTTTAATTTTGAATAATCACTTTGTGGCCTATAATTAAGAAGTAATTTATCTTTTTGTTTACCATCTGCAGTACTCTTGAGACTTATTTATAAGTATTACTTGTGTATAGTCTTTTTGTAGTGTTTAATAGAAGTACGCTATTTACTCTTTCATTCTGTTTTTCATTAAACATTTGATACTTACATGTGCATTTTAGATTGAGGATCTTCGTTCCCAACTTTTGAGAGCAGAAGATGACCGTGTAGAGTTGCAACATCAAATTTCACATGTTGCTATGCACCGCCAGAGCTACCAGGATGTACAAGATGATGAAAGGAGAATTAAAACAGGTACAACTCTCAAATTTTGCACTAGAGGCCTGCAAATTAGTTAGCCTGGACGTTAATTCTGTCTTTGAGTTTCAGTCTAATTCTTCTACTGTTTCAAGAAAAACAGCCGTTTAACTCCTCAGCTTTAAGTTAATAAGTACTGGCACCTAAATATTAACAGATAAATAGCAAGGAGAGTTAAAATTTAGGATAAAATACCATGATTTACATATTTAAAGCATGAAGATTATTAGAGACAACTTCAGTGAAGTGGATAGTGTTTTTACAGAAGAAAAACATATTATTAAAGAATAAGTTCTCTGAAATTTTACATTTCAGTCCATTTGCAGTTTAAATTCTGCCATCTCGAAATTCATAGCAAAAGTCACTTATGTAGCTGGTTAATAAGACTGATGAATTTCTGGTAGAATTTCTAAGGCTTAACGATGTGTTCTAGCGAGGCTAAGAAAATTTTCCAGTATGATGCAGTCAGGGCTTCTGTTTGCAGTATGTTAGAATTTTAGAGATGGAACAATTATATTTAGAAGAAAAATATTTTAAACAATTTCAAGATGTAATTGCATATTAAATTACCACTTTAGCAAGGTCTTTGCTACATTGTTAGTTATCTATCTGTATTTAAACTTTTCAAACATAATCAAAAAAGCATTAGAGAAAGTCTTTATCTTTCTCCTTATTAACATAGAAATGTATTATTCAAGATAATAGAGGAATAGTGACTCCAAGTCCAGTGTCTCTGTGAATTGGTTTGGTTAATGACTTCTTTTTATATTTTCATACTTCAGCTACTGAATTATCTTGGTTATTAAAATAGGACTCTGACTCCCTGTTTTACAAACCTCATACAGAGCACTGGAAAATGGCTAGGTTTTGTACATGGTTTAGCTTCAGAAATGTAACACAAAATAGTCACATTAACATGACTGGAGAAAAGGTATTAAAATATCTGCCTAAAAGTGAATTTATTTGAAACAATATGCCTTTCATGTTAATGAAATCGTATTTTAATTTTTCCATTTGTTTTGTAATTATACATCAAAACTGTTGTAAAAATATGAAGAAAATAAAAAAAATGTACTGGATCTATTAAGACACACACATATATTTATATAATTTATGCAGTTGTGTTTCTCCTTACTGTGTTATTTCTTTTTCTTCAGACGTGCATGGGAAGAATGCAAATGGAGATTTTCTTTGCCTCTAGTAGTTGTTTATGACTTAAAGACCTTTGAATTTCTGGTTGAGGAAATTTACAGCTTACTCTCATCAAGAACTTCTATTGTAGCTGTAGGATTCAGACATAAAATTCACAGATAGTGTGACTTCCAAATCAGGAGTTATTACTCTGGTGGGATAAAATCTTGGTCTTGAAGTTTGTGACCAAGTTTCATTTACACAAGAATTTCCCCATTGTTTCTTCTGTCCTATTTTATTGGGTTTTGGTTTTTTGGGGGGAAAAAAAGAAGGGGGGAAACCCCCATAAAATGACTGGATAAACAGAAATACTGTCTTATTCAGTAAAAGGTTAGGTATAGGTATAGCCATTTTTCACATATACTTTAATAAAAATAAATAGTTGTAGAATAGTCTCAAGTAGAGAAGAAAATTGCCAAAAGATAAATGAGAAAAAAATAATTTACCACAAGTTGGTGTTTCTACTGGGCCTATTGTTCTGTTCTCACTATTTCATAGTAGCTGAAAGATATGAGAGAGAGAAGCAAGAACTGGAGAAACATATTTTAGAGCTTAAAGCAAAGCTGAGTCATAATGCTGTAATGTCAGAGGTAGAACAACTAAAGAGATGCATAGAGCGTAAGGACAAGGAGAAAGCACAGCTTGTAATGCACATACAGGTAAGCTGTTTTTTCGTTGCTGTTTGTTTGTTTTTTTAATAATTTCCTGTATGTTTAAGGTAGGTGATGTGCCAGATTAGGGAGTAACCTTTAAAACTAAGAGTAACTGTCATGTTCTTCATAGTTTTTTCTATAAATAACTTTGAAAGGTGATCTGAGTTTGCAGAGGTTTTTCTCTCCCATTTTGTTAATAAACCAAAACAGGTATTTGCTATTGCCCATAAATTCATGGTTTGGATTACTTCTCTTTCCCATGTGCAAAGAAAGGGTGATCTGATTTTATCAGCAGTTACCATTAATAATGGTTTCTGGAATTACTTTTATAAGTTAGTATTTACTTCCTTATTCCCCATTCCATCATGCTTCAGAACTAAAGCTTAACTTTAAACAAACTGGGATACCTTGTTCTATGAGAGAGTAAAGTAGAGTAACAAAAATAGATCATAATGGCTCTTTTTTTAGCAATTAGATGGAATATAATAATTATTAATATAATAAGTATTAGCATTCTTATTTATGGTAAACACATACTATTTAAAGTGATTATCTGTGAAAAGAATAACAGCAGTCTCTGACACTGGAATTTTAGTTAGAAGACTTTTACCTTGAATACAAAATGAGATATAAGGAGGCAGCAGCCTTTTTATTTAAGAAAGGAGATTTCTGTATTTTTCAATCTTGTCTAGATTTGTCATTGGTAGTAAGATCCCTGAACAGTAACTGTTTTCTACCGTCTTTCATGACTGTCAGGAGAAATGAGGGTATTTTCAAAACCCTATATGGGATTTCAGTAGCCAAGTACTTAACATTTGTGGTACTTGTATTGGGGCATTCAGTAAGCCAGGGAAATCAAACTAGTACATCAAATTACATTTGGAAAAAATTGAAGTCTTAAAATAAGTTCCTACATGCTTTATGAAAATTGGTCATTGAACAGGTTTAAAAAGACCTAGAGTGCTCCTATAGAGGATAAGGCAAGCAGAACTCATTTGCTGATGCCCATCAGGATTTGTGTTCTAGCTGGCCAATACAACTCCAGACTAACTCGAAACATGCTGGTTTTTTGTTTTGTGGGGCCTGAGAAATTCCAATTACTTTGGTGGCAGGAGTTAATGGGATAAAAACCCATAGAAAACCAATTTTTTTAAACTTTTGCTTGTAGAACATGCTTTCTTGAGGGTCAGAATGATGTTCTAATACTAATTTCCTGCTCTGTGAAAATACTGATGGAAGAGTGCTGAGCCGGGGTCATTGTCATTGCTCTGAGTTAGAAATCTTTGACTTCCCTGATTATCTGAACAGAAAATACTTTGTACTTCTTATCTGCTTCCCACTGCCATTTTCCTACGGAGGCAGTAACAGGAAAATAGCTAGTGTGTTTTTCTTTTAATGACATCAAGGAATGCAAGGATGTGAATTTCTAAACTTATGTACTTACAAAGCATTTTGTCAAGCCTGTTCTAACAGCTGCTCCTATCAGATAGTCTGATTCCCAGTTGGAAGTGACCAGTCATGTTTGACTTGAGTGTAATTTATCTTTGGTTAGAGGGGAGGGTGTAACTGGTCTTGCTTCTGGTGTACATGTGATACTAGAAATTTCTTTTGATTTATTTAAATGTCATTGTTTTCAACAATTTGAGTTGTGTTGTGCATTTAGCCCCTGACAGTTGCCATAAATTCACAATATGATGTAAAATGGAGGGGATGAAAAAGATTATAATCATGTTCTTAAACTCATGTTTAGAAGTGAGTTCAATCTTAAATTAATTTTTAAATTTAATGGAGAAAATTTTTATTTCAGTTGCTGTAGTTTACCTGAGGATGCTTCTGTAAGACCTTGCAAATGTATGCAACTATCTTAAATATATTGTTCTGCATGGAACTATATAGATATGGCGTTGTTACGGCTGACTACTATGACCTGACTATTATGGCTAAGAAATAAACAAAGTACACAAATTATAAAGATGCAATACCCTAGATTCTTTAAGCGTTTTTAGACTCTTATGCTTGTGAAATTGTTTGATTTACTAATTACTACTCATTCTAATTCGGTCAAAGTAATCTTACAGAATTGTCCAGGAGAGTGTAACAGCAGACTGTCAGTTTGGTAAAATATTTCAAATTTTCCGAGGGAAAGTTATTGATTTGTTTTTTTAAGATAAGAATTCTTCAGTAATATAAGTCTTTCAGACTTATGAAGATTGATGAAGTTCTTATCCTCGTTAAAATTCATTTAATGGCTTTTTCATCCTCTAAAGATGAAACTGTTAGCCAATTATTTTCATTATATGAGCCAATTAAGATATCTGAAAATCAATAAGTAACATGTTTCTAAATTTAAAGAGAGATTCTTACAAAATAAGAGAAATCAGTACCTTTGCAGACCAGCCTGTATCGCCATGTCAATGGAGTTCGAATGCTGAAATAGTGCTACAGATAGATTTAAAATATACAGATGCTATTCACTTTGATAAAGTTTCTATCTAAAATCACATATCAGCTGGGGGGGGGAGTGTTTTAGCTGTATCTTATATTTACATGAAGCATTAACTGTCAGAACGAGTAGCAGTTCAAGCTTTGGAAGAATTTGGAGAAGGCATCACTTTAAGAAGTTGATTTTGTGCAATATACCTTTTACTGAATGAATACACTTCTTGACTGATTGAATGTATGCATCTTCAATTATTCAATTCACAGAATTTATGCTTGCATGAAAAACCTAAACATTCTGGATGAATGGTTCTTGATGGTTAGATACAATATGATTGGCACAAGATGCAAATCAGATTGTGATGAATAAAATAATATTTGAGCTCTGCATTCAGGAAAAATTAGTAAGAGAAATAATTAGGTGCATGATTTGGTTAGCATTGTTGAAAACAGTATCAATGACAAGCAGTATGATTACATAGCTTACATACATTTAGAATCTGGTGACTGCACTGCTGAGATGCAGGGCAGAAAAAAGAGGAGGGGGAAAGATACATATAGATCTACTTTAGGTCACTAATGTAATTAGTGTGGTGAGGTGAAATGTGGCTTTCTGTATTCTTATCAGTTTAGAATGTTTGCACATAACTGTAATATAAAGCATTAGTTCTGTAAATTGTAGCAAATGAGTGATCCTCACTTGCATTTTAAATAAGTTTTAAGGAATGTTGCGTTGAATACACTGTGTTTTCTATATCTACAATGAATTTTGTTTTGCAGTTTGTGGTGATTTTATTTTTAAATTAGGTGTTGAAAATGCAGGTCAAAAGTATGATACATGTAATCAAGCTAAGGACTAGAAGCCCAAACTACACGAGTTACCAGAATGGTGGCAGAGTCGCATGTTTAGTGCCTATGGTGATTAGTTTACACTTCAGATAAATAACTAGGTTCTAACTGGAAAATGTTGGCCTCTTTCTCTGCCTCCAGTTTCTTATGACAGTTGAAAGCTAGATTACATATTGGGATGTTGGATATGTAGAAAATTAGATGCACAACTGTTTTACTTGGGGCAAATGTTGCATCTGTTTTTGAGTTTGTTAATCACCTCTGTTCTGTGTCATCTCTAGCCAGAGCCTGTCAATTGAAAAGTCTGTGGTGGTGTTGCAGTCTGAGGGCTGATACAAACTTTAATCAGTTTTGAAAATAATACTTGCATTCAGATCTCTAGAGCATTAATATGCTGTACCCCAGGATTTAGTAACTAATCTTAATGACATTTTTTAAGTGTTCTGCGAACATAATTCTGTTTTATACAAATCTTCAGATATTAAAGCCAGGAGGAGAGTATTTGATGTTATGTTGGTGGAGAATGAGTTGACATGAGTATTCTAATACCTTCCCCTTGGTTCTGTTAACAATGGAACTATGAAAATGCAGCAATAAAATTAATCACACTAGAAAAATTGGGACCCAGAATTGTCTTGTGTAAAGACTGAGAAGAGACAACGTACCACAGTCAGGATTTTCTATAGTGACCGCAATGCAAAACATGCCAACAATTGTGGAAACATTTTAACAGCGAACTGTTACGAGTATCCTGGGTTGCTTCTGTCAGGAGAACCTCCATACTGTTGTAATGTATGTCACAGAATATCGTCATGCTTCTATTGCATCCAGAGCAGCTCACTGAGTTCTCTGGGTGACTGACCTTCAGCCACCAAAGATCCTAGATGCTCCTGGGAATCTGGAGTCTTAATCTATAAAGGCAGCATTTCTCATCTGCATAGAAATTTTTTTGGAATCACAGGTGTTTAGTAATTTGCTATTTGAAAGAGAAACTCAAATGTCCAAGAAAGAGGGGTGGGGGTGGGGTGGGAGTGGGGAAGGAGAAAAAAAAAAGAAAAAAAATCACCTAATAAGTGCAACCTTCTGACATTGCTTGTCCTTTCTCTTAGATTATCTCACTCTTGTTTACTACAGTCACAACTGAGAAGGAGAAAATTGGATGAATATTTAAAAAAAAAACCCAACAACCCCCCCCATATCTATATTCCTGTCTTGTAGAAATCCTTAAAATATTTACATTCTGAATTACCTAGAAGGGTAATTCCAAGATAGGAATGTGAAAACTAGGGTATATTCTGTAAGGTCTAAAGTAAGCATTGCTCTGCCAAATTCTCCTGCCATAGTAAAAGGGCAGCCTGCAAGGCTCAGGAGGCAGCTGTGTCTGGTGGAACCCCTGTCAGAACTGAAGAGGATATCTTCAGACACGTTCCATTGGACATGGGTCTGCTGACAACTTTAAGCACTAAGTTTAAATATGTTCTCAAAACAAAGATGGAGACTGAGATCTGTGATAATTCCAACTTCTGTAGCACTAACAGGGCTCTGGGCACTGTAAATCTAAACAGACCCAGGAGCTGGATTAAGGTGTAGTCTGTGGTAAGGACTGATGTTTCTCTTTGACCAGTTCCTTCAAATCCCACAACTCTGGAGGCCGAGAGCAAACCTACATTTGTTGTTTTAGGTTTTTCATTTATTTTTCTTTTAGTGGCACTTTCTTTATCTTCTGTATGCTGTGGCATACAGAATACTTATACATACAGATACTTACCACTGCCAAGTACAATGTTCTTCCAATGACAACAGTAATTTGCATAATTATTTCTTACTGTCAAAACAATCTTAATTCTCATAAAGTCAAAATCAAGCGTTAAAAATATATAGAAGTGTAACTTGCTTAATGGAGCTTTGTGTTGTATTAACTATTTACTATCTGCTGATAGTACAGTTCCACAAAAACTAGTAATCAGTCATTTTCTGAGCAGTGTTTGCCTGAAAGGGGTATCGTATTTAGAAAGGTATGCTCTGCTGACCCTGTTGATTATTATTTCCAATCATCAAATGAAAACTGTGTCCTTTAAGATGGTTCTGATGACCTCTAGATGTTCATTGTTGTAAAGGGTTGCTTCAAATCAACCACAATGTTGACATGTGTGCAGGCAGGTAATGACAAATGGCAAAGAGAACTTGCCTGTAACTATTCTGTTAGAAATGTTATCTTCAAAATTGTACACAATCAGTAATCCTACTTTTTTCACAGAGTGCCTAGAAATTGGGATTGTGTGTTGGGATTTTCCAAGGAACCAGAAGGCAGGACCATAATCTTTGTTTTTATAGACGCATGTTTGAAGTGTGCTCTTGCAGATACTGAAGCAGAAAAAATCGCTGACAAATAGTGCTTGTGTATGTCTGTTCCCGTTGTGTGAATGTATGTATATGCCGTACCTGGAAAGAGGCTTTCTTCTTTCTGGGAAACCTGTCTCTCTGTGTATAGATGATAAATATGATTTCATACCAGATTTTTTACTTCCTTATTTTTGTGACAGCCCATGTCTGAAAAGTTGCTTATTTAATGTTTTAAATACCACTAGGGCAAGCCCTTATGGATCAGACAGAATTTTGACAACTGCATACATGTTAACATACAGATACACGTTTATCATATGTCAAAATAGGAATTCAAAAGTACAGGTCAGTACATTTGTGACCCCTGTTACGATGATATGAAAACAAAGAGTGTGGAGACCCGCTGTTTCTCTTTCTCCTTGTTTTACAGGGAAAGCTGCATGAAATGTTGATATACTATGCTGCTGTTTTCCAGCTGACTTCAACTGTTTTGGGTCTGTGCTTGCTTAACTTTTCTAAGCAAAGCACAAACTATTTGCAAAGATCTATCCTATTTTCACAAATTGTAAAAATAAAACATTAAAATTCACATTTATATTGGTACATCTATGTCAAAGTTCATTTTTCCTCCTCATGCAAATAGCTCGCATTGATAAATTAGTTGTGCTTCAAGATAAACATCTAAAAGAAACGTTCCCATTTTTTTCATTTTACTGTAAATCAATGAATTGGAGATTAAGATTTGCTTCTACACAGTGAAATGAACGTTTACAATTAATTGAACATTGTTTTCTGTGTTTAAGCTTAGACTCATATTTCATTAAAAAGTCTGTGGGAATTGTAGTATTAATGAAGTGTGTTCTCTGGGGGAATTATACATAAATAACTATTTTTTAATGATGCAGAATTGAATAGTACATCAATTTAGGCTAACATCCTCTATGGTGTCTCCAGAAAAACATGAAATGGGAAGTGATAATAGCATGTATAATCACATGACTCTGAAGAAATGATGACCCATTTTAGAAAATCTGTGGAAGGGTAAATGTAATGTCGGACTGTATTTTATCGCGCTTTTTTTAACTTCTGCTACACCCAGAATTTAAATCCTTACCTTTAAAAAGGTATTGTAATCTCTGTTTTCATTTGAAATTAAGCTCGTTTTGATAAAATTTTGCTAGTTGTAGCTTGTAAGATTTTTTTTGGTTGGTTGTTTTGTCTTATGAATCAAGACTTTTTGCAAGGCTTGGCCTGGTCGTTTTGCCTGATGAGCTTGAAAATGCATGTTTAAATAATAGTGAAGCAGAATATATGTGAGTTTTTTCTAATGTATATAACTGTAAATCTAGGAACACTTTCCTGTTTTCATTTTGCCACCTGTGTAAGATTTACTCCCGACTATTCCGTAATGTGTTTACCTATTGTTTTACTATCTATATCTTAGTTGTGTCTAGCGCAAGAATATTCATCCTACAGGTGAGCAACTGATTGTCCAGTGGATAATCCTACTCCTGTTTTGCATCATGGGTGCAAGTAGCAAGCTGGACTGATTGTTTTTTGTCTGTAGTGTCAGTCCATTTCTGTCTGTATTTTCTGGCAGTACCACGGTCTGTCACATGCAAGAGTGCACATGCAGTCTTCTTTCCAGGACAGCAAATGCTATCCTGAAAAGACTGGTACAATTTATTGCCTCCCAGGAAGTAGTGGCCAGGTTTGGAGGGGAAAAAAACCCGAACAAACCCACAAAGAAAAATCCAACCAACAAACCCAAGCCACACACCGCCCCCCCCAACCTTGTGGAAGGACCTTTGTCTAAATAGTCATTTTATGTGCGTCTGTTAAGTCGCTTATTCCTTCCTAGGCAAAGTATTTTTCCCTTGTCCCTTCTGAATTGCACCCTGTTTATTTCAGACTACATCTCCAATTTGTTTCAGTCATTCTGAAGTCTAATCCTCTTCTCTAAAGTATTTCTGTCCCTTGAAGCTTGATAATATCTTTGACTAACTATAGAGCAGGCCTATTAAATTCATCTAAGTCATTAGTGAAAATACTGAATGGTATGAAAGCCGTCTAAATAGGCCCGAAATACAGAATACTAATGTGAAATTCTATGTGGTGATTTTAATAAAATTCAGTTTTGCTAGTGAAGCTTCAATAACTGGTTTCTGAATATGCCCTTGCAGAAGGTATATGAAGAACATTTTTCCTGACTTGCTTATGAGACTGTCCTGAGAAATATCATCAGATCTGAGATAGGCAGTCCTTGTTATTTTTAAAATGTGTGGTTTCAGTTTCATTCAGTATCGAAAGGTCAACTAATGTTGGCTCTAATATGCTTGCTACGTTTTCAAATATCTGCACTTTGTTCTAGAAACGTCTACCAAGCTGCTGTATTCTCTTTGTAGTCATCAGTGCTTTCCAAAATACCCTTATTCAGCATGTTGCTTCCATAAAAGCAACCAGCATGAAACTGGGTAACAACTAGCTCATATACTATAGATTACTTTTGTTGTGGTGAATGGTATTCTTTCCTTGCCAATTTTCTTTTTCCTCTCATCTGTTTATATTCATCTTCTTACATCTTACTATTTGCTTTATTCCCTATTTGTCTAGTGTGTAACATATGAGGATCCTGGTCAATGATTCCTTCTCAAAATATAAATAATAACAAGAACAACCAGAAGAACAACAAATGCAGAAAGTAAAATAAGGGATGGAGTAACCATGTATTTTATATCTTGTGTTGAAATTCTTTACCATTGCAGAAGGGGAGATTCTGTGGGCTAACAGGGCTTTCCCTGGTAGTCAAGGAGATCTTTTATGCTATTCATATTTTAGATAGAAATGTGATTTAACACCTCTGTATGTTGTTTGATAAGGTTTCATGTTGTATATCTTCAGAGTTGGAATTTTCATATTTTGCTATGATGATTCCAGGTGTTAACATCTGACCTGGAAAACAGGGAGAAGCAGCAGGAAAAAATGCTGGACCAGCTAAAGGAGATACAGAGTTGCTACAAGGCTTGTGAGAACGGACGTAGACAAACTGAACTCCAGTCTGCTGAGTTAGCTCAACAGGTTGAAGAGAGTACCAAGGAAGCAGAACGGTACCTTACTGAATTCAAGCATTCAGAGGCACTCAGGCTGGAGACTGAGAAAAAAAGTGAAGATTTGAAGGTGAGAGCACAGGAAACCATCCGCCAATGGAAGCTGAAATGTAAGAAACTAGATCGTGAGGTGGAAAAACAAAATGAAACTATCAACCAACTGACGGCCAAGAACAGTCAGGTAAGATTGACTGGGTTTTTTTTTTTTGTACCCTTTCCATTTGTTTTAGAAATGAAGATAAGGAGTTTGTTTATGCAAACTGTGACTTAAACCACTTTCTGCCTTAAGTTCTGGACCAAATTTTCTGATGAACTACAAAACAGCTAATAGGTGGCAATACTTTTTAGCTATTACGGAGTTGCACATTCTCTTTATCCAGTATTTATTCCAGTCTCTTCACTTAATCAGAGTTTTCTTCTTTACAAGAAGAAAATTTCTCTATGAATGTTGCTTTTACTTTATCTTTTCAGTTAACGGTTAACATAACAGCTTATTTTTAGTTATTTTTTAAGGAAATAATGTGATGTTGTTATCTGTAAAAAAAAAAATTTTTAATCACATTAAGTAATAACCCATGTTCAAGTTATGCATTGTCTCATGTAGTGGACAGTGGTCACATCTTTGAAAGTAGGTGTTTACTTTCACCATGTATGTCAGATTGCTAGCAGACCATAATGCTGTATGGAGTTTGGCACAACTAGTGTAATTTTAATTCCATTCTGTATTTAACCTTTTCTCAGACTCTAGGCTTAGTAATGACATCTTTTATTACCAATAAAGACTACAGGTTCTGAAATACCATAAGAACTGCAACTCAGTTTGGATTTGATGTTTGGAGGCAGAAAAGTAGATATTTTTTGTTTGAGAATGTGCAGAGATTTTAGCAAAATCTGGAGATTTTAGCAGAAAAGGCACTCTTACCTGCATTTGGGATGAACATGCTGCTAACACCTACCATGCAGTTCCTAGGTTTTTCAATTCATCTGGATGGAGAGTCTGTGTTCCTTATATTTTTGTAACTACTTTTTTTTAATGCTTTTCATGTATGTTTTGTTTCCGCCTCTTCCTTATATTTTTCAGAACTTTTTATTTGAAAAAATCAATTTGAAAATTGATCAAGAAACATTTCTGGGCTTTTCGTTTGCCTTTGTTGGAACAAAGACACTTATTCCTCTCTTCCTCGTCCTGTAAAGTTTCTCAGGAAAAAACATTGGGGCTTTTAAAAAATATTTTTCTTTTTATTTATTTAGCAAAATTCCTTGACTTTTTCTAGTCCTGACACTGCTTTAAAGACAAGCACTCACATCCATGCTAATGCTGATCGTCCTATCTTGGAATAGTAGTAGAAACCATCATTCTGTTTGTAATGAGTCTGTGGGTCTTTGTATTTTCCAGCGGCTGGGTCAAAAGGTGCCTGCTCCTATAGTGGCTGGTATAGTGCTAAGATTCATGCTGTGAGCTTTTATCTTAACTTACATGCTCTGCTGGTGCAGTCTATCATATTGTATGGCCTACTTTTGTTTTTACAGAGCTTCCCTCACCTCTCTTCACTTATTTTCTAGTTATGCGCATCCAATTTAGGTTACTAAATCTGACGGGGTTGGGATGGCTCCGTGCCGTCCTCTGCTTTGTCCTGCTCAAAGATTGTAGTTTTCAAGGGGTATATGGTGTGAAGTATGGGATGTCTGTATTCATCCTGTATTGTTCCTGATCCAGTAACCTGTTCCGAGACTGGTACATCAATGTTTGAGCCTGGTCAAAGCACAGGAGAAGCCACAATGGGGCTAATACTGAGTTGAATAATAAACTCTAGCTGATCTAAGCTGTGATTCCTGGGGTTGCTGTTTCTCTCCTGAACTACCTAGCATATTCTTTGTTTTTTATTATTATTTGCTCTGTCCATGCTCCGACAATTCATTCCGTAGTAATCTTGTTGTATTGGTTAGCCCTAGCAGTTGTCTGAGGAAATAAGGTTCGCAAACACTTAAGAAGTTGGTCGTCTCTTGCCTAGGTAAATGGAGGTGTTAAGGAAAGGAAGAAAACCTGAATCACTTAGAAATCATATGTCTCTCTCATAATAGACAAATGAGAAGCAAAAAGTAGAGGACAGTTAGTTGTGAATAACAAGCAGGAGGAGCCCCAAAAGGCTCTGAAATCACTGTTCATGTAAATGCATGGACAGGTTTTTGTAATAGCAATTGATAGTGCTGTCCACATTGAAATTTTCTTTGTTACGTAACAGTCCTTGACATGGATTTTACTTCTTTCTATGCAACAAATGCATAAAAATGCTAAATGCAGTCACTTTGGTTTAAGCCCGTTTAAGAAACTGTGTGAGTATTCATTCTTAATTTTAAAATCATCAGCATCTTGCTAACAAGTTTGAAGTAAGTGTCACTCCTGAAGAAAATCTCTTTATTGGAGGATATGTAATATCAAATAAACTGTGTGTCATTGTGGAGGAGAAAAAGATACAAACAATATTTCATGTTCTCAATGCAAAGTTGTAGACAGTTTCCATATAATCAATCTAGATGCAGCATTTGTGATAAGCTTTAGGGAACTAGATGAACATAATTTTAACCAGCTTTGAAATATACAGACAATTAACATCTGAGACAAAACTCTATAAAAATAAATAATAAAGAAAAAGGAGAAATGGCAGTCTGTTGTCTTTGCTTTCTGTTATAGGACTTCAAAGGGTTGATGGCAAACTTTCAAAATTGGATTACAATCATAGCTTGCAATTTCATGAGATGTTCCAAATATTTGCAGACAATGGTGGGGCTATAGAAAGATTGTTTAGGTTTCATTCTTTTGGAGTTATTGGGATAATTTGGTTAAAGTCTTGCCTCTGTGGTTATTCTTGAGGACAAGTATACGCTTGAGATGACAAATGATCTGTGTCTAAATTTAAGGAAACACTGAATACATTTGAACAGAGTTCGTAACAAGCAAAAATTTTGTATTTTCACGGAACAAAGTGTGCTAATTGTTCCTTAGACATTAGGAATCTCTAAGGACATCCTTCCAACAATTTTCTTTAATTACTTTAGGTCACACTGGATTTCTTTTTCTTCTTTCTTAGGCCCTCAAGGAAAAGGATGACCTCAGAAGTCAACTTCTCTCTGCTATACACCAAATAGAAAACCTTCGGAAAGAGCTGAATGATGTGCTCACAAAGAGAGCCCAGCAGGAAGAACTCCTCCACTGCAAAGAGGTAAAACTGACTGAAATGAAGTCTCACCAGGTATCTCTTGAAGAAGAGATCAAAGAAGTTCAAGGTACTGTAAATAAACTGGAGAATGAGTTGAAAAAGCAAGTCTTTTTACAAAATCAAATGCAAGCTGAAAAGGAACACTTGGAGACAGAACTTGCAACTAGTAACTTGATCCATAAAAAAGACCAAGAAAGACTCTTAGAAATGCAAGCAGATGTAAAAAACTTAAGCTCTGTACGTGTGGAACTAACAAACAGAATAGCAGAAGAGGAGAAAGTCAAAAAGGAATTACATCAGAGCAT